TAATAAAAAAATATAAAGCATTGCCTCTTTCTGTATATATACACTAATGCTAAAAACGGTGACTCGTTCACTTCGTTTGTCACTAATCACTTTAGTAATTAAACCACAATTTTCTTCCAAACGTTCATGAAACAAACACAATGTTAAAGTACAAGCAAACCATTTAAACCATTGGTAAAAATTCACTTAGTTATATTTTTCTCGAGTCGAGACTCTGTAGGTACAATTCACTTAGTTATATTCTGTATCACAAAATGCTCCTCAAAATCATAAAATTTGAGTCCTATTTTGGAACAAGAGAGTCATTCGCCTGTGGTTCAAAGTAATATCCCGTGCATTGCTCCTTTCTTTTTGGAATTCTTTTTTCGCTTCAGTGCATTCTCCCTGTAAAATTCCGAAGTAATAGTCGCGTAACAATCTTGAAAGAAGTAAATGAATGAGCCAATAATAGAATTATTAAATCTGCTATCGACCTCAAGTTGCTTGACATGCAACTCTACTTTCCTTCTCTAATCAGCTCTTTCGTCCTGCCAAAAGAATGTTATGGTAAAGTTATATAGTCAGTACTGCCTTTCAATAAGGAATTTGTAAATTAAAAACTAAAGATGGTTCCTTACCTCACGAGCTTTCTCTGTACTCTGTACAAACTCCAAGACAGCCTGCAGAAAATCATGTTAGCCAAAGGGAAAAAGAGTACGTAGAACTTAGAATTTGAACTACTCATGTTTTCACCCTGAAGGCGACAAACTCTCTGAAATAGAGCAGAAACTTGATCAGAAGCTCTTTTTTCAGCATTTGATAATACATCTCTTTCTTCTTTTAGAATCGAGACCTGTAGCACAAATTACTATTAGTATTGAAGGACAAATATCATAACCTTATCTTGATGAATGTGATTGTTATAATACCTCCATAGAGAGTTTTGCGAGAAATCTCTTCAGCAGCGTGCAGAGACTCGGAACTCTCACGAATCTTCTGTTGGTGGACGATGATCAACTGTGATAACCAGTGGCGGATCTAGAAACTTATTTAATATAATGCAATTTACCATATGCATTTAAATATTTTTTTCTATAATTACTTATGAAAAACAAAATATTAGGGTGGGGCACATGCCACACACTTTTTCTCTCTAGATTCGCCCCTGTGCTAACTCTACGTTTCTTGCGTTCATTTCTTCTCCCTGATATTAAGATGAACTATTAAATTTGGGTTAC